GTTCCTCACCTCCATACTGCTCAGAAGACACAGCTGGCTGCCTACAAGGCTTTGAAGCCATCAGATCTTTACAAAATTTGACCGTAGCTACGTAGCTATACTAATGCAAGGAGCAGGCTGTTCACTGTGCAACATTTCCAACACACTGTCTGTTCTGTCAGGTATAATTTAACCACCTCCATTTATTTCAAGGAACTGCTTGAAGAAAAAAAAACAAACAGTTAACTCACAGGGGAGCGACTCACACCCCATTATAAATATTTCCCCCCAAACCCACACCCCAAGACACCCAGAAAATGGAGAATCAATAAAGAAACAGTCTTTAAAGCATTTTCCAGAGTCTTCCCACATCCAAGGCTTCAGAGGCTCTTAGCATTTGAAGTATTACTGGAAGTGTTCCATACAATTCCCTGAGCAGAGATCTAAAAATAACTACGGACACAGTAGTAAGTTTTCAACTGTATTTGTAAGCCCCTTACATCCCTCTCAGGAACCACTACTTCCCATTTATGCTGACTTTTAAAAGCACCTACTAAACATTAGGAATTATTTCACATGAGTAGCGAACATCAATAATAATTACATTTAAATTGATACTGTAGCAATATATCCTGTATTTTTAAAAAAAGCATTAAAATAGATGTCGTTCACAGCAAGGCCACGCTCTCTCCTCTGCATGAAGGGTGGGTATCTGTAAACTCAAGTCAGAAATTAGTCTGGCAACATGTGAATAAATGGGCACAGGCACCTTAACAGGCAAACAGTCTTTGAAGTTCAGAGTAAATAATCCTATCAACCCTGAAGAGATACGTTGTACAACAGGAGAAGTTCAAGAACTCTTCAAATACATAGTTACAGGCTAGAAAGACTTGGTATTTTGAAAAGAGAGCAAGAATAATTGAAATAAAGATATTGCTTTGACTTCCAGTGTTTGGGACGTAGAGAAACAGTATGTGTGCTTAAAAAACACCTATCTGCTAAAATAATGTCAATTTTCCTTTAACAAATCAATGAAGGGCAGATGATTGTCTTTTCAAATCTGCTCATTGTTGCCATGAGCTCTGCAATGAGCTAGCACACAGCATGCTGCTATTTTTGCGCCCATGACCAAAGTATCACTTTCTTGCACGACAAGTCCTATTTAGCCTATCTTTATCCAAAATGACAGGAAGTCACAAGCAGTCCCAAAAGTAGCTGACCTCCCGTCAGTTTTTATGCTTGTTCTGGACACATTAAAACAAAAGCGAATGGCTTCTCACGTTCTCCCACTGAAATCCTGGGAAGGGAAAAAACAAAACAAAACAAAACCCAACTGACCGAAGGGATTCCTACGTTGGCCTTGGTCTTCACATTTTACTACCAGAAGGAGCCTGCATTGTTTTGGGGTGTAAGAAAGCTTTCAGCTTATTTTAGGACACACACCTGGACTCCTAAGTACACCCAACTACTTGTTACTAGGCTCAAAGTGAAGAAACTCCCTCCCTTTCAGCTAAAGCCTAATTGTAATCCCAAATCTTTTCCTATGAGGGAGCCACTCAAAATTGAATTTGTCTCCACCTGCTGGCACGGAAGAACTGACACCCAGCTGCCCAGACCACCACAGGCAACCTCAAAAGAACAAATGTTACAGGACATTTTCAGACACATGATAAATGTATTCCTTTCTAACATACAGACAGAAAATGGGGTAGGATAATGCAGGCGAGGGAGAAGAATCACATACTGATTACAAAGGAATTTCTATTCTAGTAGTTAAAAAACGAGGACAGAGACGTGACAATGTAACCAACCGTACAATGAAGCTTTTGTCCCCAAACTACTTGGCTTGCATACAAGGAACAGAGGAACTTGGGGCGGTGGGGACAGGCTGGGGCGGGGGGGAAGCGCGAGAGGCTGATGTTTGTGAAAAGAAAGTGAAATTGGTTAGTCTGCTTTAAGAAAGACAGTGAAGGGAAAAAAAAAAAGGCAGAAAAGCACCCTGCTATTGTAGAATCCACCCACTCATTTCTGAAAGGCTCAAAGACCCAGACAGGGATTTACAGCCAGCACTTCTAGGCACTGAATATGAAGCAGAAAACACTCAAATGCCCAGAGGCAGCTTCTGCAATCCCAGAGAAGAAGCCTCCAGATTGTACGATGTTCTGGTCAGAGCCATTTTCTTTCAACAGGTTTTCTGCTGCTGAGTCAGTCATTATGCTCGGCGTTACAGCCCATGAGGACACCTGCACGCCACAGTTTTCAGCTGTAGTTAACCAGCCAACCATGTTTTATTTTTAAGTAAAGTTACGCAACTTCCTGGAAAAAGAGTTCAAAAGCAAACCAACGTAATCCTCTGGCTTAGAAGTCAGGGCAGCATTGACTGGAGGAGCAACTACTAAAGGCAAAGTATTAACAACAATAAAACAGGCTGGTGTTCAGTTGCCTGTAAGACATGGGAGAGGAAAACACGAGTGTTGAGCAAGGTCATGACTTCAAACATCGTCCAGAAACATCCAGAAAAACTGCAGCAATTTAAAGCTTTAAACTTGAGTTTATTTTAAAACTAGGATAAGGATAATAAATTCAATTCCAACCAAGCATATTCCATTCAGTAGCTTACTCTAAATAAGAAAGGGAGTGCTGATACAGAGATTCTCTTTAGCCTTGGTTAAAATCAGTTCAGAACAGAATGATTTTCTCTGAGTCGACTAAATCTGGCTTCTATTTATTTACATGTGTCGGTATCCAGGGAGGGCTTAAACTAAATTAAGGTATGGGTTTATACATCCTATATGCAATTATAAATAAGGCTGCTCCTTAAACTATCTGCTTTCTGTAAAAATGTTCGGTAGTTTTCAGCTTTTTATTTATTTTTTAAAGGAACTGTGCTGCTTCTAATTCCCGTGTACTCGGGCAATCAGACTTTTGCTGAAACTAGAAGGAATAGAAACAGGTTCAAGTTATTAAGGTCTCAAGAATTTGTTTAGGGAGTAATCTAAAACTAGCGCTTGTATCCTTGAAAACAAGTACATTTACAAAACTTTACTGCAATAAGAGCTTTTTTTTTTTTCCCTAACCCAACAGGAGTGGGTTATGAACAGTATTTTTGGCAGCACACTATCTCTGCGTTATCGAGAAGTTAACAGTGTGTGTGCTGCAGCAGTTTCAGCCACACTAGTAGCATTAGGCAGGTTACCTGAATGTTGTCCAAAGAGACACACGATAGAATTATACCATGATGCTGAAGATGACAGTGTGTTAAACGATGATCACTTCCAAGCCTGTATGCTTTGTTTTTGTGGGGCATTTTTATTTTTTGGTATTTTCTGTTTAATTCTGCTCTCAATATAAGAGAATGCCAAGGTAGTCCTCCTAGACAGGGAATACTATTTATGCAAACTGGACCCCCTTAGCCCCCCAGTAATTGATGTAATTTTATTTTGAACCAGTATAGGGATGAACCTCCCACATGATCCCAATCTCCATTTCCCCTTAAAAACAAAACCCTTGCTTGATCACAGTGTTTCCCAGAAAAAGTAAGATTTGTAATAGGCTGCTGATGCAATTACTGCTCATTATACTGGATTCTCTTAGTAGTTGTCTCATGTTAAATGCAAGTCCCCCGTGGCATGAACCATCTTTTTATTCCACATTTGAACAGTGCAGAACAGCAAAGGCTTAGTCTGTTTCTACAGATGCTAGGAATTATGAAACAATCTATCCTTCCCCCATTCCCAGTGCTGTAACATGCAATTTGTTAACATTTTTAGCCTAAGGAAATGCAGTTTTTACTACCATCCTGTGACAATTTTACCTAGTCATTTTATTTATTCTTTAGCTATTCTCAAGATACTTCAGACAGATATCAAAGATACAAAACAGCAAGACTCAAACAGGCATCTTAGTAGCAGAGACAGATGACTCTAAGCTCTGCAGCATGAGTTTAACTACACTATTAAACACTACAAAATAAAGCAGTAGCATGAAAAAAACGACTTTCACTGGGAGTTTCTCTAGGCTTTTCTATAGTTATATCCAGTTCCTTTGTAAGAGTCTAACAATTCAGGCTTCTAACCCAACTCTTCTAAGTAAACATTCATAACATATGCAGGTATGAAGAATTTCACCTTCAGCTGATTTTAAGCATAGCTAAATTCAGTCTGTGGACAGAACACCTGAAACAAAGAATTCTACCTGCAAATTAAACCATAATCAATATTCTAGAATCACAAATCACTTATTAGAAAAACTAGGAAATCATCCCCTATCACCTTCTAAGAACTAGTTACAGTGATATTAAGTTTCATGGACCTGTACCTTGCTTCACTGAACAAGGAAGTGGAAAACAAGGAAAAACATTTCCAACTCACACAGAGAAAGAAAAAAGAGTGGATTATGAACAGCTGCTAGAAACATACTCCACACCAGAACTGCAGTTAGTCTGGTGCTACAGCACAAAAATCTAAGTAACAAGAGAGCAAGGAAGATAGCACATTTTTAAAGCTCACTGTCATCTTCCAGTTGCTTATCCAAATTTCACTTGCAGACGTCAGGATGAAAAGAAACAGCCAAATAGCAGCAGCCGGAATGGGTGTTGCATTCACTTCAAAAGATCTGCATGCAGGAATAGTTTGCCAGTATCAATATAGTGCAAGCTGGCAGGACTGGAAAGTTACAAATTAAGTGTGCCTTCATCAGTGACCTACTATGAACAGAACTACTGAGCTGCTAAAATATTTTTAGTTCAACCAATTCCTGCCTTTTTTGGTTCCTCTTGCTCTTCCAGTTTATCCAGTCATGTGCACTTTTCCACTCCCTCTTACTGCCATGTAGTTTTTCAAGTTTGGCTCCAATTACCACTTGTTCCTGCTGCTGAAGTGTTCAGATTTACAGCATAACTACAAACGGCTCATATGATGGCTAAATCTTGCACGTAGCGAGCGATCTTTCAACTGAGGAGATATTTATACAGCAGGGAACATTTTTTTTCCCCTTCCCACCACAAAACCAGTGGTACTCACCAGCTGATACTCGCTCCGACGGCTGAAGGCTTCCTTGATTCCTGAATCCCTCCACAGGGCGCCCAGTGCAGGTACGTAGAGCTGGAACGTGGCAGGCTCTATGGGCATTCCAGCTTTGTTTTCAAAAGCCATCAAAAACATCCCATGCTTCTCATTCTCCGTGTACTGCCAAGGGATCCCCAGTTTGTCCCGTGCATCAACCAGAACCCTGCAGCCCTAAGGAGTCAGATAAGAAAGTCAGTGATAAAGAGATTAAAGTGTACAAAAGAACAAGGAATTAGAGGTGCTTGAAATTCAGGGTTGGTTTGGGGTTTTGTTTTGTTTTGTTAAGACCTTACTCTGGTGAGCCTGAACTCAGGAGGGGATCAAACATCATTTATTGGAACATCTCCACCCGAATTAAGACAGAAAGAGCTTGCTGGTATAAGCAGCCTAGCCGCAATGCGTTTCTTCAGGTGGGAAAAAATATCAGCACCAAAACAAAGATTACTACCAACAGATTCAAAATAAAAGCAAGCACTAAATGCATAAAAAAGTGCCTGGGAACTAACTTGTGATCCTCACTGATGTAGTTTTAAACACAGAAACAGAGCACCATACCAAGCCAGAAAGATCCTAGAAGCACGTTGCTGTAAAGCGTGGTTTTGACATGATCTACTTGGATGCTATAAAACACAAGAAAATACGTCTATCCAACTTGACAGACTTATTGAAAATTTACTGTAAATAAGCATCTTCTGTTGAGAGACCTTCATCCAAGCAGTTCCTTCCAGTAGGAAAGCCTAGCGGCAAGGAAGCTGGAGACTCTGGAGGGATTTCAAGCTGCTAGGCTGAGTAAAGCAGCAGCAGTTTTCCATCAGCACCAGCTAACTTTTCCAGCTTGCCACACGTTTGATAAGTCATGACAGATATGTTTTGATATCCCAATTCTGAGGGGGGGGAAATTAAAATAAAATAAAATGAAGGAAGGTGACCCAGTTCTCTAATTTAACTCAGGATTACTGAGACCACTCAATTGCACGTTTTACCATTTTTACGGAAACTTAATTTCTTATTCATGGCAAGGAGCCAAACACATGAGGTTAAATAACTTTGAAACTTCAGCCTTGAATCTAACCACACCTGTGCTTATTGGCTTCAGATGGGCAGTACTTGTTTCTCAATAGTAAGAATCATTTTAAAACTGGATAAATCTGTTAATGGTGGCTTCGCATCTCAAGCACTATCTGATTCACAAGATCTGTGTGTTGTACTAAACATCTGCTTACTGTGCTGATCTTTTGGTTTAACAGTTTATGAAAACAAAAATAAAAAACAAAACTGAAGCTTTGTTTCCACAGCTACGCACACAAACCTCTGCATCATGGGACCGACTCCTTTCTGTACACTTTAAGCTACCAAGATGGCAAGCATGTTTTTTCAACTCTTGAACCTTTCATGCCTCCAGTCCCTTAACAGCCCCATACAACACAAACAGTAACTTTTCCAATAGAAATTAAGATTGGAAAGGGAAGTGAGAAGCAACTTCAGTTTGAGTGTCATAGAACAAGAATACAAAACGAAGCATCTCGGTTGTCACTGTGCAAGTGTTCCTGAAGTGCAGTCTCCCAGAAATGTAAATATTTGGTTCTCTGGTGATTGTTACTTTCTTTTTATAAAGTAGAGAACAGATCCTGACAATACCATGGAAAGACTAAAATTGAATGTATTTACAAGCTGCTGGTTTAAGTTCCAGATGTAAGTAACTATTTGGTAACTTTGCTGGACAGACCAAAAGCCCACTCTCATTCCTAGTTAGAGTTTATTGCTTTATTAGCACAAGTCCTGAGATTTGCTTTATTTGAACAGTGTCAATAAATGCAAGCCAGAAGGAAAAAGAACCACTCGCAAGGTTCCCTCTGAACCGCAGATGCCCGCACTCCAGGACTTGAGATGCTTTTGCAAACCCATCACTTGCACTGGCCTCTGTCCGGGTGCAAAGTCCCCCCCGTCCCCAGATGAGAATTTCACAAGGAATTTTTTCCAAAACTTTGTGGTTAGCAGGGCTGATGGCACACCGCTATTTCTAGATGCTTAATGCCATGTTTCTTTCTGTGCCAGAAGTCATGTTGATGGACAGAAACAGTTAACTGGGGCTCTGTCCACACGCAGGTCTCAGCCGGCTCCGACCTTTCACCTGCCCCGGCTCCAGCTCCCGCAGCCACCGCCCGGCTCAGCCGCAGCTTTTCCATCTTCCAGCGTCCAGATGGATTTAACTCTTCACCATCTCACGGCTACCGCAGTCCCCTAAAAGCATCTCAAGCGAAAGATGGCAGGATCGCTGAGTTCCCACCGAGATGAAGCAGCATTTGGACTTGAGACTCGACGCCTTTCCCCATACCGTCACTTTGCATTTTACTGCTCCCGCTGGGGACGTGCAGGATCTCGAGAGGCTGTTGTTAAGGAAAATTTCATCATTTGTTTGGAGAAAACCACAGAGCAGAATTTCAATCAAGGGCGTAGAGACTGCTCCGGTCCCAGAATAGTCACTTATCTACTGGCTGCAGCTCCTTGGCAATGCAGGTTTGAATCTCCCTGGGGCAGGAGAAGGAATTAAACCTGGATCCCACAGACCCTACGCCGTGCATTAACCACACGGTTACCCACGGGGTGCATGTGGCATCAGCATCGTCCTCCCACTGTTTTAGAGGGAGGATTGCCACCGAGTCACGTACAGGGACAGAGCTGGGACCAACTGGCAGCCAGAGGCAGAGCCATCAGCACTGACAAACACAGACACCTGCAGAAACACACAGGACAACCTTAAACACTGAATGAAGAGCATCAAAAATAGGAAATGGGGTACCAGGAATGCTGTCCTGGACATCCACAGGAACAGCACCTCTCAAAATCAGAATTTACAGAACACACCAGCTTTGACATTGCTACCTAAAATGCATCACAGGTAGAAGCTTGATGTAAGAACAGCCAGGGTTTCTTACCCCCAACTCTTAGCAGTTAAAAATGTGACTCAGCAAGGTGCCCCAGTAAAGCAAGCCTAAACCAAGTGTTCCTGCATCCTCACAAAATGATAAATGCTCCGAGCAGATGTCACAAAAACAAGGACAAACATCTCCAAAATTAGATCTCATGTATGGCTCTTCTCTCATTTCAGAGTAACTCTGCTGTTTTGCTGCCACAAGCACTGCATAATCCTTGCCCCAATAATCTGCAGCACAAGCTGCCATAGGACAGGCTCCCTCCTTCTGGAAAGATTTCCATACCTCTTTCCTCCAAATAACCCACCCTCACAGGAGCCAGCCAGCAACTCTTCTTTTGGTAAAACTGCTCAACAGCTTATACACGCCGGTGATGCCTAGAAGTAAACATTTCGTTTAGAAAATGGAATTTCCTTAAAATACCTAGATTTTGTATCTATCTTAAAATAGCAAAATACATTATTAAAGTATGTTTGTCAAAACTCAGTTTGGACTCATACCATCAGTAAAGATTAAAAATAGCCAGTGTCATTGCATGTGCAACCCTTCCTCCCGAGCTCTGGCAACAAAGGTAGCAGCCTTCAACTGCAGTAACCATTTCACAGTAAGGCTTCCCAACACTGAACATTTTTCCCCTTTTCTATTCTTCATGAAATTAACAATTCACTCTTTCATTCGGAAGAGTGAATATTGCCCGTTACTGTAACATTTTCTAAACTGGCATACAGAAAAAAAGTGGCAAATGCTTTTGATATGAAATAAACTTCCTAAGAGCTCAGCTGATCTAAAGCTTTTGTGCTGCAAAGCAGGACACAGACTAAGCACAGGTGCGAAGAATACAAATTCACAGCTAAGGATACTGCCAAGCATTAAAAAAGGCAAAACAGCAGCATACGAGAAACACCAGGTAAGAAATAGCAAAGTTCTCTGCCCTACTCCTCTCCTAGTGATTTTTAACACGTACAAGTCACTGCACAAACCCCTGCACACACACAACCTGAACAGAGAGAGGGTGGAACCAAAAAAAGTACACCAGGGGTGTGCTGTGATCCGTGTCACGAATTATCTTACATTGAAGGAGACACCAAATAGATATAGAAACCTACAGCTTTGAAAAAAGATAACTAAGGTCTGACACACCAGAAATCTATAGAAATTGCAAACTACTTAGAGACAGGGAATACAGAAGATTATTCCACTACCCCCCAGTACACAAGTACTCCTGGCACAGCAGCACAGCTCAGTTCAACTAAAAGCAGGGTTTTCTCCTACCCACCCCAAGTGAGCCTAACAGAGTTACAAAGGATGCTGGCCAAAAGAACACATGGACTCCGAAAGCAACCAAGACAAATTGACAGCAGAGTGCTCCAAGAAGGACTACTCAGTTACATTCCAGATGCGACTCCTGGCTCAGGAAGTTTCCGAAACCCACAGCTGCCAGAAGAATACACCAAAATATCACATTGCCCTGCTCTCCTACCCATTCTTTTCCCCTCTCACGTCAGAGACAAAGCGCTGGATCCTTGGCCTGATGGAGCGCTCAGCAGAACGTTTGCTCCTCACCAGCATGAAGGTTTTATGATCATTTCCACAAATGTTGGTTAAAGTATATTTTGTCTCCTTCGCTTCTCAAAGTGCTTTAAAACAAATCAGGGTTGTTGGCCAACCCACAGGCTGAGTGAGCACAGCACAGTTAAGCCCCAAGCCATGCGTCTAGGGGTCACTTGTAAGCAAACACAGGTTGGTCCATGCCCAAAGTGACAGTGAAGTGACTCAGAGAACTGAGTATTGTAGTCAAGGGTCTAGAGATAACATACAAAAATAGTCAGAAAAGCCTTCTGCACGGAGTTGTCCCTGAATCCCTGCATTGAACTACAGCTGTGTATGAGGTGTCAGACAGCACAGAACTGCTACACACAAAATCCTGCTGCAGATGCTTTTTTTTAAGCTTTCTTTTTACACCGCCCAACCTGACACCAAAGCCCCAGATGCCCAGCAACCATGTCACTTACAGAAATGGCTGTCACAAGAGAAACGCTGATCATCGCCTAGTGCTTTATCAGGAGACTCCAAATCACAGCTCGCAGGCAGCGCCGTCTTCCTATGGCTTTCACGCTGCAGGCAACAGGGAGATTGAAATGTGTTTCCTGCTGTGTGTTTTTCTTCATTGTTGTTGACAAGAAACTGGCAATGTTTGGGGATCACAATTCAGGGAGACCAATATAGAGCTGAGCTAAC